TAAAAAAAACCAAATATATAGTATATATTATTTAGAATGTGTGAAAGTTATACAGTCTGCAAACTATGATATATATTTGAAATGTATCAACCCTGATGTCCTTACCGCCTATCGCATTTCTTGAGGCCTTAAAATGCCAGGACAGCGGAATCGCCCACAAAATTTGGAAAGCAGACACCTCAAGGTATTTAATGAGATGCACAGCGAGTGTTCTAAAGATTCCATTTTTCATGGTGCAAGTTTTCTGAAAATAAAGAGAACATGTTTTTGTTTTTTACACAAAGTTGTTTTTAAGATATTACTAAGACAGAGCATAGGAATCTTTGAATTATACCCCAAAACACATTCTGCTACTCCTCCCATATATTCTGATATATGAGACTTTTTTGCTACCTAACTGCATAGAGGGGCCCAAAATCTAAGGAGCACCTTGAGGATTTAAATAGGCATAAATTTGATATCTGTTTTCTTGCTACCTATTACATTTTTGGAGGCCCTGAAGTGCCAGGACAGTAGAAATGCCCACAAAATGACCAAGCAGACACCCCAAAGTATTTAATAAGAGGCATGGTGAGTCTTTTAAATATTGAATTGGAAATGAAAGAAAATCAAAACATATTTCTTTATGCAAAGTTGTAAACCAATAAAATGTTACTACCTCACAGCATGAGCATACTTGGAATTAAACCCCAAAACACATTCTACTCCTCCTGAGTATCTGCATACCACACATGTGAGACTTTTTCACAGTCTATGGCATTGAGGGGCCCAAAATTCAAGGATCACAATGAGGCTTTCAAGGAGCATAAATTACGCATCTGTCAGAATGTTTACTCTGATAAAGTAAACAGTTTTCTATTTATGAAAACAAGCAAGAATCTGTAATTAAGGAGATTCCCAACTTATTTTCACAAATCAACTAATAACTCGAGTTCTTTATTTGCGGTAACCTGAAGACAAAATAAGAACAATAATGTGCAAAAATATATATATTTATTAACTAAAAATCAGTGCAAGATAATCAAAATGTAACAGGTGACAAATAAGGAATATAGATCAACATTTCAATAATATTGATCAACATAGATAATAAGAAAAATTAAACCACAGGATATAATTTCAAATATTAATGAAACAAAACTAAGTAACTCCAGGAATTCAATTATTAGCTTCTCAATAGTTTAGCAGAATGTGACAACATAATGTGCAGATTTGACACGTGACCTCTCCCAGCCAACAGATATTCTCAAGCTCAAATTTTTACTGTGCACAAACTCATAATTCTATGTACAGGACTGGCTATCAGCCAAGAATTGCTTTTTGGGTGCCATGGACGTTCTCAAGTTTCCAGGCAGAAAGAACAGTAAAAGTGCAGGCAGTGCACTGGACAAAGCTCTAGGGACAAAATTGAAGTGAAATGGTTTGATACATAAATGTAATTATAGCAGATTACATTGTATTGTGTGTATTCTGTGTAAATGTCATGTTTTCACTTTTGAATTTCCCGCCGGCTCCGCCCCCCACTGTGACGCCGAAAACGGAACTGAAAGCCGAATGCCGGCATCGGCCGGCCGCGTACAGCAGAGGACAGCGCGGGCTCACAGAGACAAGGTAAGTGACACTTTTGTGCAATCCCGAGTGTGGCTCGGGGTTGCCGCTTTTGGTACTGAAAATTAACCCCGAGCCACACTCGGGAATACCGCCAGGGAGGTTAAGGTAAAGACAAACTTCCACTAAGTTATTTAATTTTTATGCATATATCACAACTAAACCATCGACTAGAATCGGAAATCAGCTTCTTCTCCCAAATTAAAAGGAAGGTAATTTCTACTGCAGTTAGAAATTTGACTCCAATTTATTTTTGATGCTAACTATGACCAAATGGCTAGTCAATTGCCTACAGATAAATAGAAATGTATACTTTGCCAAAAATTGAAGATTATTTTGCCTAAAAGATGTCAGCTTTGTGTCAGTGTAGGGTCAAGAGATGTTCAGGTCCTCTTTGGTTCAGTCCGTCAATCAACTTCAGATCTCTGCCTCCAATGTCTATGTACGTCCACCTGTATATTCTTTCTTTTTTTCAGTCTTTTTGTTCACCCCACTCTTAACTTTCTCTTAACTTTTATCACCCAAAAACTTGGTAGGAGATAGCCTATCTCATCCTGATTATGACATCAGGACGGTATCACTTTTCTAAAAATTATCCCTGCAATTACCTTGTGGACATGTTTATGGCAGTGCCAGGACAGTAATGATTGTAGATCTGTGGACATGTTTATGGTGGTGTCTGGACGGTAATAATGAAGAAATAATGTCACCAGCACACCATAAGAGTAATTTAGCAACAGTCCATTTAATGACACCTTGCCATTCAATACAAGCGCTTTCGGGGCCTCAGGGGGGTCCCCTTCATCAGGCTGGCAGGTAGAGCCTGATGAGCCACTGATGAGCCTGATAAAGGGGACCCCCTGAGGCCCCGAAAGCGCTTGTATTGAATGGCAAGGTGTCATTAAATGGACTGTTGCTAAATTACTCTTATGGTGTACTGGTGACATTATTTCTTCATTTGTGCTATTCACGGTGCCGTCCGTGGTCACTACAAGCACCCACCCGTCTGCACGGGTCTCCTGGACTTTCGGGTAAGGAGTGCAGCAAGATCTCTGGTTTCTTGGACGGTAATAATTGTACATCTGTGGAAAAGTTTATGGTAGTATTAAGATGGTAATTATAATTTTGGCGTGAACCGTATACATTATTTTAAACCCCAGCCCTTTCTTCACCCGATCCCACCCCCATAGGGGTACAGTTTATGGATAACGGGGTCTGGGTTGGGAAGTGGGGGGTGGCTGATGTAGGCGGGAGGGTTGTGGGGGCCCATCAGCAGAATCTTGCCCAGGGCCCAATTAATACTAAAGATGGTCCTGGTGATGCCCCGAAAAAAGGCTGCACTGCGCCTGTCAAACTTACACCCACGGTACTGCACAGTACAAGCAGTACCACATGTATTATAAATGAGTAGAGAGTGGGAACTGCTTAAAATAAACTGTCCAGATTTTCTGTGACAACATTTTTTCTTTGTAATCATTTACTGGGGGACACAGCAAACCTCTGGGTAAATACTTTGGTTTTATAAAAGTGAACCTTAGGCCAAAGTACAGCTTCTCCTACCGTAGTAGCTATACTCCCCACACATAACAAGTAAGCCCAGTTTTGCTTAATGACCATAGGGCAGCGGTGGCGAACCTATGGCACTGTGCCACAGAGGGCACGCAGAGGCCCCCTCTGGTGGCACGCTAGCCAGCACCAAGAGGGATCATTGTATTTGGTGAGCCCGGGTGATGGGTATCTGTGGGCTGGAAGTGGGGGTGGGAGAGCAGCAGGGAAGGGGGGAGCAGTACCAGGGGTACAGGTGTCTGTGGGCTGGAAGTGGGGGTGGGAGAGCAGCAGCAAAGGGGGAGCAGTGCCCGAGGTACAGGTGTCTGTGGGCTGGAACTTTGGGTGGGAGAGCAGCAGGGAAGGGGGAGCAGTGCCAAGTGGACAGATGTCTGTGGGCCGGAAGTGGGGGTGGAAGAGCAGCAGGGAAGGGGGGAGCAGTACCAGGGGTACAGGTGTCTGTGGGCTGGAAGTGGGAGGGCAGCAGGGAAGGGGGGATCAG